TCGTACTCTGTTACTGTTCTTCTGTAACAAAGAAATCTGTAAGTTTTGTCCTCTCATTTTTGAAACCTTTTCTATCCCAGCACTGTATGTATTACAATAATGACTCCTGTTATTCTCAGAACTAGTTCCATTTTTGCTTTATATGTTTTGAGATGTCTAAAATGGATGCACACATTGAAAGGGAATGTAATACACACTCTAGCAGATCTATAAATGGACCCAAGCAGTGACATAATCTTTTCTATACAATTATCTCTTCATTTTGGGAACAAACATCTTTTATTTCATACCTTTTTACTACTTTGCGCCTATGTAGCTTTTTAGATATCAAAGGGCATAAAATACTGAGGTATATTTAGATTTCTTAATCAATTACCTTGGTGTTCACTGGATGAGGTTTAATGCTGGAAGAAGGTTCCCCAAGTGAGAGATGGGGAGGGAGCACCGTGTACGTCAGGCAGGATTGCCATCCTGTTGCCCAACTGTAATAACCCTTTGGGGAACTCGGAGTTGAAGCTACTGAATTAAATGCAATAATTTTCTGTAACAGTTTAAAAGGCCTGCAGGCATGCTACAGTTGTAGCTGGTGTTTTAGATAACACTCTGTAGCATGACCCTAAAGCCTCGTTTACATCTTGGCAATTAAAATATATACTATATTTTATGTCTGTTGTACTTTTCCTATATTGCAGCGTAGGGCTTTAGCGTTGAGGCTTTTTATTGTAAGAAAGGTAAGAAACTGTTTTTTTCTTTTTCACTACAGTGACTTTATTTCACATTGCAATAGGTGATTAAGAGGAACTGCTGAAAGGCTGTCCTGGGGAATTTTAAATACAGTGTAAACCTTCTACCACTGCATCTGTCAGCTTTGTTTGTATCTGAGACTTCAGTCATCAAATCTCCCATGGTAGCTTTGACACTTGTGTGTGAATATGCCTTGTACCCTGTTACGGTGTTTACGCTTGGACTTTCTACAACACTTACAGTAAAAGAAAGAATTTTGGTAATTTACTTGTTTTAATTATTATTTGTACGTACCTTATCTGACTTGGTAATTAAATATTGTGCTAAACGTGCTGACAATGGCAGAGGTCTTCAAAGTAGCTTGGCACATAAGGGAATGAGCTCTGTGGTCCCAGTGACCTGGTCACGTACAAGAAATGCTTCTCTGGTTCTCCTGCTTCCCTTCTAAATTAAGTTAAAAGAAATATGTTCATATTAGTTTAATAATGGACATCTCTTCTTTACAGTTTTGAATGGTTTTTAAAATTTGGAGTGACACTGGGAAAGTGCAGTCCGACTGAGGCAGCAATCAGCTAAGCTGTGTACACAAATGGGATGGGCATGACTATATAAGAGGTGACATGTCAGCCTGGTGATTAGTGTACGCTCTCCTGTTTAATCCAGCCAGGAGCTTGTAACATTGGACAGATCACTGAAAAGGTCACGGGAGATCCCAATGCTCAGTGACACAGATGAGCATCCTCAGTTTTTATCCTTTGAAAAGCAGTAGACAGAACCTTGAAGTAATGGCATGCACCAGCAAAATCTTCTTTTGATTTTCTTCAGTATATGCAGGCCGTTTCACCTTAGCAGTGTAATACAACATGTAACAGTATTTAGCCCGTCTGTTTTGACATCCTTTTGTGAGTGGGTGAGTTAGTAGCTCAATAGCTTTGTAAATACTGCTCTATGAAAATTCTTTCATTTAGTTGGAGTGAAGCTATTCGATGGACCATAAATATTGACATATGGGCAAAGATTACTTGCAGATGAAAGCAAGTGTTTTTGTAACATGTCACAAAAGATATTTAATTTTATTTGGTTTAAAATCTTAATCTGATTTGTCAAATCTCTGTGTTCCCTTGAGTTTGTATTGTACTCATTACCAGTATTTTGTCTGAGCTTCTCTAAGGCGTAGTAAAAGAAAGCTAGGCAGTGCATTTGGGTAACTGGCCCTAGGATGCAGCTTTTATGCTGTAGGAAATAGAGGAGAGGAAAAAATGAAATACGTTCCAATTGGTGCAACAGTGATTCATTTAAATCTGAGGATTTGAGTGGGAAAACTTATTAATATTTTAACTACAGTGATCTTTGTAAGAAAGGAGCTGAGCAGATGCAGTAACTGATGGTTTGGGTTTTTTTTTCTTAAAATGTTTTTCTCAATAGTTGAAAATATTTCTCTAAAGTTGGGGGGCGGGGAGGGTGGGATTCATGATGGGACAAGTAAGTCCTGCACAGTCCTGAAACTGTAAAACATCCCACTGCAGTAATAAGACTTATGGTTCAGATCTTGTAAAGCCATCTGCAAGTCTTCCTTTGTTTGACTTGTCATTGCTGGCTTACTATTTAAACAATAACACTCATAACGAGTTCTGTATTCTGCAAATATGTTTGTGTTCTGTCTTTCTCTTTGTGTTCTGATGGTGGTAGAGAACATTTATTTGTAGACAGATCTTTAAGATAGCTTTTATTCTGTCTCCTTCTTTCACATCTGTGTATTAATTCACTGACGAGATAATTTCAAAGACATGAGCCTGAGGATGTTAAGTGTTTCTTAAAACTTGCTAAGAGATACTATTAATTTTTAAAGTTAAAGGTTACTGAAGGTAAAAAGTGTTTTGTATAATGCCAGATTCAAAAAGATCAGGTTCTCAAAACTTACAGGTGCTGCATTTTTTTTTGTTCCATAAATGCCCAGAAAAAATCCACTGGTCTTCATTATTGTGGCAGTGTAATGACTGTTAAAGGATCTCCATAATGTGGTGCTATTAAACAGCTTGTGTTTTTTTAACCTTTTCATTCTTTGCCTGGAGAGGCAATAGATAACCCAGAAAACTGCCTTTTGAAGTTTTATTGAATACATTGACTTCCGTGGGAAGCAGATCAGTACTTCCTCATGCTACAGCGTAGATAAATCTTTGAGGATTTTATCTTGGTATAGTAACAAAGTATTCTGCAAAGAAGGGTTTGAGGGTGTTTTTTGTTTTGGTTTTGTGTTTTTGTTTGGGTTTTTTTCCCATTTTAAAGGAGCTTGGAAACTTGGGAAAAAAAAAATCAAAATTATTTCATCTTTGATGATGAATAATGTATGTCAGTTTTCCCATGGCACAATTTAGAGACATTAGGAATTAGTGGCTCTTTAAAGTCTAGAAACGCTTAGATGAAAGGGGAGATATGCTTTCACATGAAGTCTTTGCACTATAAAAGAATAACTTTCTGTATCTGTTAATAATGATTTTTAAAATCATGATTCAGTTTAGTGTTAAACTTTGTGTTTTATTATAAAATGTCTGGAAAATTGTTTTTACATGGAAAGAAGTTGCATTCATTAGTCAGTCAAATATTTTAAAATCTGAGTGTTTCATATAAATTAGAGATGTGCTGCACGGGCATGCAGACATTCAAATAGTCATAAATTTAATAAACTGTTCTGTTAAATTTTTTTCTGATCGTGTACAAATATTTCAGTTTCTTTTTGACCACTTAACGTTTGAAAATACAAAAAGTATACAGAAGTGTTTGCTTGAATAGAAGGCTTTGTAGCTTTGTCTTTTAGTCTAAATTGAGATTCGCACAGGTCAAGAAATGGAAGAGCTTTTCAGAGAATTTGAAAACAGAATGATAAAAGACTGGCTGCCATTCACCAACTTTAATTAAGGTTCTGTAGTAAATTAAATATTCTCTAAAATATTTTCAGGAGTGATACCTAATTAGTTTGATATTAAATGTTTAAAATTAAATAGGTGAAGAGTTCTAAAGCAACCTTGGTTTTGCTGAACAGAGTGCAAATGGAGTTGGCTGTAGCTTTGTGATATGTGCTGTAAATTGTCATTTTAATTCTACGTCACAAAGGACTTGACTGATAGTACTTGGTAGAATAATCAGTTGTGGTATTTAAGTACTTTAAACTGAGAGGAGAACCCGGGAAATAGTTCTTGAGACAAAGGAGAGAACTCTAATATTAAAGGTGTTAAACAAGAAATATCAAGACCTCAGCTAACAGGTGCAGTTGCAAAGTATTAAAATCATCTGAACTGTTCTTCATTTAGATGTTTTGTCAGCTATTTAAAGATACAAATTATATTCTTTAGTTTATTTATCTTCAAAGAACAAAAGCAAAATTTCCAAACTGTTTCTTAGTCTGTCAGAAATGTAGATATTTTGGTTAAGTGTTCAGGACCCAAGTAATGAAACTGAGAAGCCTTGTTTTGAAAAGTAAGTGGAATGAAACAGTAAAGAAAATGAAATGGTAAGAGAAATAAGATTCTTACTGTAATATTCCTTAAAAACTTGAGGGAAGGAAAAACTGTTTCTGACTGTCACTTACAAATCAAATAGTTACGTGCTTTCTAGCACAAGTTATATAGAATATACTGCCTTGGAGAAGTCTTCCTGCACGTCACCTATGATGTTTTTGTAGCTTACTGTGAAATTACGTGTATATGTTCTTGATGAGAACAGTTTTCTTAGAATAGAAACAACAATAAAAAGTTTTAGAAGTCTGTATATAAAAAACAGACATTACAAACCAAAGTTTCTGACAAACAGAAGGAAGTCAGACTTGCCATTAAAGCATGCATTCTTCTTTGGGAAAAAAACAACTTACCTACAGGTAGACTTTGAGAGTAACACCTTCTTAAAGCTGAAAAGCTACGTTTTTTCTGCCCAGTTCTCAAACTGCTTTTCATCTTCTAATCTGTTGTATAAAAATGAGAGGTATTGTGTTGTCGTTCACAAAGATTTCTTTGCTAACGTTTTTGACCAGGGTGGCTCATGCATGAAAGTCTGGGAAGTCTTGCAGACGCTACAGAGCTGCATCTCACCCATAGTTGATCAGATCGTGCTTTCCCTTCCAGACAGGAAGCAATCGTAGCAATTAGAGAATATTGTAACACATCAGCAGTTGTCTTTCTAAATTTGTTACAGGTGAATGTAAGCTGAATGTAGAGAAGACTTCCAAATAAGCTGGACTGATGTGCACAGAGAAGGAATGAAGTATGGATGTGAAGGAACGTAGGCCTTATTGCTCCCTGACAAAGAGCAGACGGGACAAGGAGCGGCGCTATACAAATTCTTCCGCAGAAAATGAGGAGTGCAGAGTGCCTACGCAGAAGTCTTACAGCTCCAGTGAAACCTTGAAAGCTTTTGATCATGATTCCTCTAGGTTGCTGTATGGAAACCGGGTAAAAGATTTGGTCCACAGAGAAGCAGATGAGTATACCAGACAAGGTAGGCAAGATGTTTTAATCATAGTGTATAATTCGTTAGTACCAAGTAACAAGGCATTCTTGCTGCGGGAAGAGTATGTTAATTGTAACAGTTTCATCAGTTTTAGTAATACTCTACACACATAGTACACTTCACTCTTACCTCCCTAAATGTTTTACAAAGATTGGAAAGCATTGTGTACCATCTTTGCAATAACTAATATCTGATGCACAGGCAAGTTAAGTAAATGGCCCATGTTGGGCAATGGGTCAGTGACAACGTTGCAGACTCAAGTGTGAAGTATTCAGGCCTTACAGTTTAAAAGCTAGACCCCCAGCATAAATTCAACTCATTAACAGATTGCCCAAAAGTTTGCCACTCCAATGTACCTAAAATGTAAATAGCTTCAAAATGAATAAAAATAAACAAATGCAACTGTTCCAAGAAGGCCAAGCCCTATGAACAGGTTTGGGGAAACATAGTGTGTGTGGATGAGCGTATGAATAATACATTAGCTCAGTGCCTTTATCTTTTGGCTTGCAATGGCAGTAACAGAGCACTGTACAGTAAGTAAGGTAAACGAGTTCATGATTAATGCTTTTGGGTTTGTTGGGGGCGTTTTGTAGTGGATAGCTAGGATATCTAACCAGATGCTAGCAGGTTGCTAGAGCTCACTGTTGAATTCCTGAGTTTGGGACTGGAGAGACGTGAGAGAGATAAATATCCATGGAGATGCGCAAAACCTGACTGGATATGGTCCTGGGCAACTTGCTGTTAGCTGACCGTACTTGAGCAGAGGGTTTGAACCAGATGATCTCAAGAGGTCCCTTTTAGACCTCAGTGACTCTGGGAGATTGCACTTGGCTGCCGTTAAGGTCAAAACTGTAGTCTCTGGAATTGGCATTTCTACACTTCCACACCTAAACTACTTAATATAAGAAGGGGAAAAAAAGAGTAAATTTATGAAATGTGTGGAGTACTGCAGCCCAGCTATCTAAATGGATAAAGCTAGGCCAAGAGCTGTGTGAACCTATGCCTCAGTCTTTATAAAGCCATCGCCTCTTTTATGAGGAAACAAGAATAGATTTAAGGGTAGAAAAAGAAAGCTTCCTCTTTGTGAGGAAGTCCTTAGTTTTAATTTTAGAAATGTTTAAAAATATTTCCCCATTGGTGTTTTTTCTTTGTTCCAAGTAGAATAACTTTACATTAGAATTAGAGCTGGGCAGATGGTGTTGACTCTTTTGACTACGAATGTTTGCAAGGGAAATAAAAATATTTCTTTTAGGCTCATGTAACTGAGCCTTGCTGCTACTGTAGTCTATCTGCTTTCTGCTGTGTATTTTTGGTTTCTGTGATGTGTTGAAATTTCAGGTCATCACTACTTTCTAGTTTTTAAGTCATTAGTCACTTTGATCTCATTACCTCAATGAGGTAGAATCAAGAGGAAGTTTTCAAAGACCTGTACTGTAGACACTTTCTTAGTACTAGTGACAAAATTATATCAAAATAGGCACCATTTATTTAAAGAATTCATAAACTATTCCCTGAATAGAGTACAATTATTTTTAAATAGCAATAATGAAGCAGAAGAAGTTACGTAGTCTGGCATGTCATATATGATAGTGCACTGGCGTTTGGGGCTTTCTTCCTCTTCGTTTTCTTCAGAAAAGCACATAATATTTAGCTAATACTTACTGCCCAGTATGCAATGAATTGCACATCTCTAGACCTAAAATGGCAGTCTGGGGTGTGTAGTGCCATCTTCACCTTTCGGCGGTCTCAAGCACTATCATCTGTGCCAGTTTGATTTTCCTCACTATCCTTTCAATTCTTTTTGTATGGCTTATTGGCTTCCTCTGATGCGTGCTGGTTTAGCACCTTTGGGGACTACCTGCAGGTTTGATAGGGTCAGGTTGTCAAGGGCTTGTTTGGCAGTCTTAGATAGTATGTTCCTTTGATTCGTCTTTGGCTGCGAGAATTTACTGCTTCTGGCATTGGAAGCATTTTGTGGAAAAGGTGTTCATGGCCATTCCAGAGGTTTTTAAATAATATATAAAACATCCTTCCCCATATTTATTTTTTCCCTCTGTCTAGAAATAGAGTGGAGATCTGTGACTTTGTTGACAGTCTAATTACATTCTAGCTTGCTAAATCAACAGGAAGTAAATCTATAAGCAAAAAAACCAAGCTTTAATAAATACTTTCAACTGGAAATTAATTTTTAAAATTAGTCATGTCCAGTGTTTCACTTTTTTTTGCCCACAGTGTGTAAAATAACAATATCAAATTTCCAGTGTCTGCTGGAAAGCTACTGGAGCAGTTACATGTGTTTCTAGAGTCTCTCAAATGTGGCACAATTCAAAAATGTCAGAGTGTTTTTATGGCTGATATGTTGGGGTAAAGCCCTTCAAAGCTTTTTGCTAATGAAACAGAACTTTCCCACCTCTTCTTCTGAGTTGTCTCAGTACGCATCTTTGTGCTTCCTGCTTCCCAAAATCCCATGGTAGGAACTGAGAAAGGGATACTGCTGTAGGAAATAAATGTGCCCTGTTCAGTGGCAGCTTTATCCCAGGAGATTGTTGCTGTGGAGAGGAGGTTCTCCAATTGTCAGTTCCAGTCACAGAATCCTTTTCCTCATCTATTGAATTTCTATTGCTTGAGATTAATTGCATAAGTACAAATAAGAGCCTAAAAATGCATATAATTGTCATTGTAATCTAAAACCAGCATTTAAAACATACAATAAAATATTTGAACATTAAATTATTATATAACTGGATTTATCTTCTTCATTTTGAAACTCAATTGACGAGACTGGAAGAGCAGTTTAGGAAATTGTAACTTCATCTAGTAACATGCTTTCAGTTAACATCAACAAGACAAGACCTACTGTGATCTCCTTCCCTTCTTCTCAAGCCCCTTCATCTGCTGGTTTTGTTTTTAAACTCTTTAGATTAGGATTATTTAGTCTACTACTATTTTTAGAACTTCCAATACAGTTACTTATTTTCACTTCATTGTTAATCGCCGCATAAGATTCAAAAAAGCTGGTAAGCCTGTGAATAATTAGACTCAGCACCCAGCTGTGTAAATGAAGACCATGAACTTTTTTTCTTTAAAAATATTTTTAAGCTAGCTACTGAATTTTATATTACATGTTTGAGAAGATACTTGATCTCATCCCTGACAATGGATGAAGCACCATGAAAGACTATTTACTTTCCAAGGTATGATGATATGATTGTTTGCTGTTTGTGTAAGGGAAGAAGATGACACCTATAATCAGCAGCCTGATTTAGATGTACAACTTCTCTAATTGAATTCAGCAACCTAAATGCTTGTATTTTGGAATATGCCCAAGTAGCTTGCTGAATTCAGGATTAAAGCTGACTATATAAAGTTGAATTTCTCTGTTGTACAGAGAGAAATTCCTGTGATTACAAAATTAAACTGCTCTGTGAAGTGATAGAGTACAGAGGAGACTGCTATGCAAAAAATATCTAAAAGTGTGACATGACTATGGAGTAGGAGGGAAGGATTGTACAAATATAGAAAGTAAGTAGTATTTTTAAAATTGTATTTTGAAAAAATAATTAGAAGTAATAATATAACAATATGAAAATAATTTAAAGGAGATCATGAGTCAAACCTGGACTCACAAGAGCTGAAAAACTTTTTATTAAGTTAGTAATAAAAATACAAGCAGGCAAAAACTGCATTTTATTTACCATTGGATACATGTTAAGAGGAAGAGAGGAACATGCAATATCTCTTAAGTAGTCATTGTTCCATTTGAAAGAGTTTTGTTGTTGCAGGACAGTATGGTGATCATATAGAGTGATGCACATACCACATTAGTGAGTTTCCGCACACGAGCAGGAGGCTGACCCACGAGCAGAGGTGGCAGGATGCACTGCAGATTTGTGTGTCTCCATATTTTCATACAAAATAACAGCAGCACTGTTTGTGAACTGTATGAATGGAAAAGCTGAGCTGCAGGACAGCTTTGGCTAATAGAGGACCCGATGAGATAGTACAGGTTTTGTTCAGTTTTTACTTTTTGAAGGGTTGAGTCAGCTATTGTTTAGCCTGCAGGTAAAGTTGTTTGGTCTTTCTAGCTGGCAGTGAGATTGAGTTCACTGTGCTTGTCAATCACAACAATTCACTGTCAGCCAAGCCTCAACATCAGTTTGTTTTCATGCTAACCCTTTCAGTTTTGCAGGAGAAAGTATTTGTGTGCGTGATTTTGTACTTTCACACATCTGGAACACTTAAGTGCCTAAATTAGATTAAATGCCCTCGTAGCTCCGTGGAGCTGCAAAAAAGAGGGGCTGAACTTACCAAACAAGCAAAGAAGAATAATTTATTTCCTTCACAATATGCTGGATCATTGATACCAGGTTGCTGTAAAAGCAAAGCCATGTACAGTGAGTTACAGTGTGCGGATGTATCATAGCTGTCGTTCATCTGCCACTCCTGTGACAATTAGATTTAGGTGCTAGAAAAATCTCGCCATTCAGCAAAAGAGGGACCTGAAACAGTCATATATATGCTTCAAAAATTTTATTTTAATATATAAGATATTAAACATTCTCAGGGATACGTTTTTAAGACTTCAGAAACCTTGAAACATTAATTGCAACTTCTATCCTCATGTAATATGACTCTGAAGTCTATTGCTTTTAAATGCTAGCTGCTCAAAATGAGTTATTTGGATAGCAAAATGTTTAATCTTTTTAGTCACCATAAATGTCAACTGTAGGATTAAAGGATTTAAATGGTCGTGTTTTTAAACCTAAAGCTTGAGCACTTTAAACTTACCTGCCTGAAGCAGTGGAAGGGTAGATATGTGAGAGCGTTTTTTTGACCTTCTACTACCTATGCCTTATTGATGAGCTGATTTTGACTATTGAATAGGCAAGCAATTCTCAATAGAACTGGATCAGCCTGCTTTGCAGATTATTTACAAGAAGGTACAAAATTATAATATATAGTGACTTTGTGATCTCCTGATGAGCAAA